TCCAGAGGATAGTAATTAACACATTTTTCTTAATCTTGCTTTTATGTTTAATCTCCAAAGCATGAAAGTAGTTGGCTAGTTGATTAAACTGTAAGAATACAACTGATCTGAAATGAAGGTAACAGTGATGAATATAAGGGAACAAAATTGCCCATCCTGTGAACAAATAGATCAACGTGAATCCCAACTTGAAATACTAAACACATGAAATTAACTACACGAGTGTCATTTTCAGAGTGAGAAGCAATCATTCTTTGATCTCTTCTAGGAAAAAAATGTGATCCCATTTAGAGTTTGATCTAGGGTCAATTGTCTACTAGGGTCATTTAGGTAATAGACAATAAGACTCCCTAACACAGTGACACCTGATGTAACTTCAGCAAGACTGGCACTTAGTCTGTGAGTATACAGGGCATTTGTGTGGCTGCTTGGGAAAGGACTTGGAAGGCTGGCTTTTTCTATACCAAGTGGTACAGGTTTAAAAGGTCAAAGCTGAAAGCAAGGTGACAGGAAATTCAGAGCTGTGTCCTCTAAAAGAGGGCGTTCCGACTAAACACTCATTGTACTCTTCACCCTTCATCCATTCCCCAGTGCAGACTCAAGAACAGCCCCCTGCTCCATTTGAGCCACCTCCCCAATGACCAGTGGGAAGGGCAATCCATGAGACAGAGGATTCTCTCTCTCTCACATCTGTTGTAAGCAGACATGACAAAAACAGGCTGTTTTTATTAATTAAAAAACTCAACAAAAAAGCAGATTGCAACATTATTTTCAGATTGAAAATATTAATCCAGATAGCAGAATAAGAATACTCATTGTCTCCAGATATATTCTATCAGACAAAAATCCTTTTATTCACTGAAATAAGCACTGTGTAATGGTTCGTATCAGATGACATCGGCCATACAGTGCTCTTCAGTCCTTCTTCTTTCGGCCAAGGAAGCCATTCATTACATCGAAGGCACCTGTATATTTGACCAAGAGCAGTATCATCTTGAGGGGCATGAAACTAAAGAGAACACAAGAGTAAACTTTCTTGGTTATTATTATCATGAAAACATCTTTACTAGCCCAGCTGAAAAGCAGTGCCACTGACTTGTAGATGAAGTTACACTCGCACACCTTAATGTGCATACCTCAGGGTCACCTGGGCTTGTCCACTCTGTGGGAGGACACCAGCCCAGGGCTTCTATATCTCTCCTTGCTTCACTTGTTATTCAACTCACTTCTCACCTCCGTTTCCAAAGCTTCACTACACTGTGTAATGATTGATAGGAAGCAGTGAAATCTTGTGGAGTTGGATGAGCTTGGCTTGAAACCTAGCTCTGTTATTTACAATGTCTTCTCAGGCAAGTTATTTAGCTCACGAGCCTCAGTTTCTTCCAGTGTAAAATGAGGTCATCAGTTTCTTTCTGGGACTACTGTGAGGAAGAGATGTGATAGTTCCTCAGACCTTTGGCGAGACCGAACTAAGACTGTTCATCTTCTCTATGCCTACTCGCCCCTCCTGACAGAGCACTGACCCCTTTGATTCTGACATTCACACTGCAGAGCAAGGAGAGGCACAGTAAGCAGAGCAGGCACAACAAACCTGAGACTTGTCCTAAGGGTGGGGTAAAGCAAAGGACCCTGTGCTTGCTGTCCCTCTAGAGGCACTCCAAGTTATTTGGGTGGTTCCTGCCCACCCCAGCTTCAAGTCTCTGGTAAATGCTACCTTCTACATGAGACCTCCCCAGAGTACCATACTGAAAATTAAATCTCAACTTGCACCTCTCTACCTCTCATTCTGCCATTTCCTTTTCCCACTCTATATTTCTTTGTTGCACTTATGACCACCCAGCATACTTTTTTGTTTTTTATGTTTCTTCTAACCGCCCCCCACCTCCCTACCAAGGAAGATAATTTCCACAAGGGCAGAGACTTGTCTCTCTTGCTCTTGGCTGTAAGCCCTGATCCTAGGATGGTCAGCAATGCATGGCGCACGCTAGGCACTCTCTAATGTTTGTTGAATGAATATTTGAAGGAGCGTATTTTGTGATTTCCTTCATTGAACTTCACGTTTCCAAAGCCTTCTCAAAAATTACGTGGAACTCTCTCAATCTGGGGTCCAGAACTAATATCTTATAACAGTAAATATAAATGCTATAATTATTTTAAAAATTAGAAAAATTAAATCCCGTGTTCCTTACAACTGGCATTACTATCCTATAAACCCTCTTTTAGGCAACAATAGCCACTGTACTGTAAACGCGCACACTGCCCAATAAACAGTGCATTACATTCACTTATTTACAAACTGTAACAAGCATAAATGAGGAAATTGGGCTCGGAGAATAAGGGTCATGCTAAGACTCACAGATTTAGTAAACAGTAGGCTCCTAACCCCAGATTTCAAACTCCTTCACCATGCCCCACGTGGCCTGTTAGCTGTATGAGTCAGCGCCCCTGTGCTAGGTGAAGCCTGGAGAAGTGAAGGGATGTGAGAATGATTTTGGTTCACTGCACAAAGTAGATACAACTAGGTAAAGAGAAAAGACATTTGCTTATGCAGGAAAGGCAACGGCTTCTAGCCATGCGGTGGACGAGAGGCATGAGATCTATGTTCAAACAACTGAAGAATTGTAGAATTGTTGTCATCAAGAGGAATGAAATTACTTGTAGTGCTAGAGGGCCAACCTAGAACCAATAGCTGGAAGTTAAAACAAGACAGATTTCAACTCAGTGGAGGGGAGTGGTTCAAAAATGGAAGATGCTTCCTTGCAAAGTGGAAACTCTTATGAAGGGGAAATAAACCTAGATGACCTGTTATAGTGGGAATCAGCAGGTGCTTCAGCAACCTGGCATTGCTATTCCTATAACTGGGTCAAATGCTTATAAACAGCAGCCAGTGTCTCAGCATGGAAACCCAACGGAGAACAGGGAAGGGTGGGCAAAGATACTCTCTTGTACTTTTAAGAGGTGGTTATATTTTCAGTCCTTTCCCCCAAATTCTTTGACCACCTTAGAGTGCAAATTTATCTTCTATCGTCAGTTTTACCTTCTACATGAGACCTCCGCAGAGCACCATACTGAAAATATTTGGTTTCTTAAATATTTGGTTTACCATCTGGTCTTGACTTTGTGCCCTGTACTCCAAGAAACATAGACACAATAGCTATTCCAATGTGATTATTCTATGCTGAGCATATGAAAAAGTATCTCTCCTAAAAAAATAATTTTTATTTGTCCACAGATTATTCAGCAGATCTGCTTCTTTTTGACAATAATGCAAAAAATACTAGGATGGCTGGAAGGATCCAACTCCATTTTCTAGACCCCTGGGAGGCACCGCAACTATGCAAATTTGAAATTGTGTCAGCAAATGGGCACAAGGAAGGTATCAAAATTCACTCGTTTAACAGCTATTTTTTGTGGCTTCTCCTGGTAGGCTTTGGAATAAGTTGTTGATTGGCACATTGGAGAACAGAAGCTGATATTATTACCTTTTTAATAACATCATGATGTAGATGGACCTTGGCATATACAAGTCAGTTTTTCTTGCAGGACAGCATCTACTATTTTTCTGACTGCATATTCTGTTTCCAGAATTGGTAACAGAGAAGGACAGCTAGAAGATGAAAAGAAAATTTAAGAAATAAAAACAATTCTTACAAATTAGAGATAAAAAGTTTGCAAGACATTGTCATTTATCTGCTTCTTTCCCTTCCATTTGATCTATTTCCATATTCTCTTATTATCGACACGGTAATAACTAGAATTTGAAATAGAAAATGATTCTAATTAATACACTGATGTTATAATATGCATATACGTGAAACCATATTAAACAAATGGTCTAAATATTGTAAAGCAAATCTTTAAAAACGAACTGCCTGTTGTTTTCATAAAATGTGGAATTGGGTGCTTTGCCCCTTCCATAAATTCCAGTCCTTTTGTGGAATCGGGGAAGAGGGTAGAACAGAGTTGGTTGGCAGAAAAGGAATGTGACCAGGAGAGCTGAGGAGATGGATGAGCAGACCAGGCTACAGGGTGGCTACGAGCGGACACAGTCTTAATAAACCATTCGTAGTAAACCCAGTATCCTAACACAAACACATTTGAGTAGAGAAGAAATTCTGAAACCATTTATAAATCAGTCTAAATTATAGTAAAATATCTTTTCAAATAAGTTTAAAAAACAGATAGAACATAAGAGCAGGGAAGAAGGAGTAAGTAGGCATAAAAGCGGTCAGATGTTTGGTGACGGAAGGAAATCTAGCTATGGGTGGTGAACGTACAATGCAATGCACATACGACACACTGTCGATTTGTACATTTGAAACTTACTGGATTTTGTTGATCGATGTCACCCCCCGATAATTTTTAATAAAAAAACCAGAACAAAATAAAATAGATGGCTGATCATTTTTAAAAATGTAGTTTTTTTTAGTGGGAGAAGATATTTGCCTATGCTATATCTGACAAGGGGTTATTATGAAAAATGTATAAAGAACTCATCCAAAATATAGGGGGTGGGGGAAGGTGAAGTGGGTAAAGGAGATCAAATATATGGTAGCTGAAGGAAACTGGACTTTGAGGGGTAATCACACAATAGAATATACAGATGTCAAATTATAATGTACACCTGAAATTTATATAATTGTATTAATCAGTTACCTCAATAAATTTAATTTTTAAAAAGTTAAAAAAAAAGGACTCATACAACTCAACAACAAAAAAAACAAACAATTCAATTAAAAAATGGGCAGAAGATCTAAATAGGTATTTCTCCAAAGAAGACATACAGAAAGCCAACAGACATATGAAAAGATGCGCGAGGTCACCAATCATCAGAGAAATGAAAATTAAAACCACAATGAGATATCAGCTCACACCTGTCAGATTGGCTATCATCAATAAATCAAAAAACAACAAATGTTGGTGAGGATGTGGAGGAAAGGGAACCCTCGTACGCTGTTGGTGGGATTGCAAATTGGTACAGCCATGTGGAAAACAGTTTGGAGGTTCCTCAAAAAATTAAAGATAGAACTGCCTTTTGACCCAGCAATGGCACTTCTCGATATTTATCCAAAGAAAACCAAAGCACTAGTTCTTCAAGATCTATGCACCCTTATGTTCACAGCAGTGCTATTCATAATAGCCAAGATACGGAAACAAGCTAAGTGTTCATCAATAGACGATTGGATAAAGAAGTTATGGTATATGTATACAATGGAATATTACTCAGCTATTAAAAAAATGAAATCTTACCATTTGCAATGGCATGGATGTACCTAGAGGGTATTATGCTGAGTGAAATAAATCAGAGAGAGAAAGATAAATACCACATGATTTCACTTACATGCGGAATCTAAGGAGCAAAAGAAACGGACAAACTAAGTGAAAACAGACTCGAGGATACAGAGAACAAACTGGTGACTGCCAGTGGGGAGGAGGATCAGGGGGCTGGGTGAAAAAGGGTAAGGGATGAAGAAGTGCAAATTAGTAGATACAAATGTCACAGGGATTTAGAGTATTAGAGCATAGCATAGGGGATTAAAAAAATGTAGCGCTTTTGAAACCAAAGGACATACTTACTTGGTAGTACAACCTTCAAACACTCCAGTTTTTATTAATAATGGGCACATGATAGTGGTTTTGATTCCCCCTTTTTTTTCTGGGCAAATGTTTCTGCAAATATAGATTCAGCAAATCTAAAGTCTACAAATTTACTTGCACAATAATCTGAAAAAGACAAACAACGTTAATGTATGTTCTGAAGTTTTAAAAATGGCATTACATTAAGGTTTCTTTGTAACAGAGTGGGATAACAACTTCAGTTATTTCTTTGTGATCCTGGTCTACTGCCACTGGAAGAAGGGAGGAGTGAGCGGACAGGGACACGGTCACATAAAGGTCAGTTGGTAATGACCTAGTGGACACTAAGGGAAGCAGGGCTGGACTCCACCGTGGTAATGAATGCCAGATACTGTGCTAGCTGTTAGATGTGTGTCCAGTCCCAGAGAACTTCAGCCCAATCAGGGCAGGAAGACACAAAAAAGAAACAAAATAATAAGTGACACAGAAGTCTAGGCAAGAGAGGTCAGTGTGGGTCATGATACTCAGACTGAGTTTTCTTCCAATGACCACTCTTTCTTCCACTTCCAGAATCAAAACGAAAGATTCAGTAGTTTCATCCTCAACCTCTTAAATATCTTGAAAACACAGGGGGAGTAGAAAGTGGCATTTCTGTCAGTTTTGAGATTTCTGTCTCAATCACACTTACTTCCAGTAAACACCTAAATATCTGATTTGGAGAATTTTGGAGTATAAAAGGCATTTAGGTGGATTTCTACTCCCTTTTGCCTCTCACAGTCAAAGAGATATACTTACTTGTTCTATTGAGAAGCAGCTACTACAACTGGCAAGAACCAGGCTACAGGTGCCAGGCTCAGGGCTATCAGGCCCCACTGCTGCCCGAGACGTGAGTAGGGAGGGCAGAGGGGTCCTTAGCAGCTTTTAGGATCATGTGCTATTTGATACAGGTGCAGTACTGAGAGCCCCTCAACCTCTGAGATTAGCTTGAGCAGATATGGCCCAGGACCAGGCAGATGTGTATAGACTGGTAATATTTTGGGTGACTGGTGGTTCTGAAAACCTTATCTACACAACTGAGACAAACTGTGCTTAGACTAGCACTGTTAATCTAATGATGCTGTTCAGCTCAAAAGCACTAGGAAGTGCCCAACAGGCAAACTGGCCTGTCCTGTCCTGGTGTCGCCACTGGGGTTTCCGACGCATGCGTCTCAGGGATCTGTGTAAACCAGTACACACAAGATTTCTGCTCCTCTTAGAGCCAGCTCCCCAGTCGGGCCACCTTCACCGAGGATCTCTTTGCCCCCTCCCCTCTGTTAAAGCCAAGTCAGCTGCCCAGGAGATGAAAATGACAACTACTTCCTGTAAGTCTTCCAACCAGTAGAAAAAGCAAAGAGGTGACACTTAGGCTTCTTGGGGTGGAGAAACTTTCTCCAAACTGATAGCTGGGGGAGACCAGATAATGGAAACGTCAGAAGGCAGAGTGGTCCCCCTTACCATCCTGATAACCACGCCAGGCGAATTTGGGGAGATGGTGACTATGCTACTTACATGTGTAAAAACATTTATCAGTAAGGTCTCTCTCTCTTTTTTTAAACCCATGAGATTTGTAAGGCCTAATGATTCCAAAGTACATAGTTTAGTATATCTGACAGGCAGTTTTGGTGTACATGATGTGCTCAGCTACTTCCCTTATTGAATATACTTCTTAATTTGTTATCTTTATTATTAGTGCATTGAGTCAATGCTGATTACTCAGAGCTACTATGTAAGTTAAAGTTAGGAAAAATTGTGTAGTTATGAAATATTCCATTTGCCTTACCTGCCAATCTATTTACTCCAATTAATCCAGCTATACTTGAAATGCAAACCAAATGTCCATGGTCACTTGCGAGCATAGCAGGTAGAAAGGCTTTATAGGTCTAAGAAGAGCAAAGTCAAACTTTAAAAGTTTTATATCACCTTTTATACTTTTTTCAGATGTTTATATGATCATTGTGAGTAAAAACCATTTTTTTCTTAAGCTCATAAAAAATACCTGAAGGCAATGGGATATAAAAACTTAAAACATTTGGAAACTAATCATCTTAATTTATTTAACTTATTAAACCAATATTTTCCTGATGGCAATTCCAATATTATTAAAAATAATATATTCAGACTTATATTTTGCTCATATTTGCCTTTTAAAAATCACAATTTTAAGACAATAATTGAAACAGTACAGGCCAATCTTAGCTGTTAGCAGCCGCAATTCAGAAAGGAAAGAATATGATCATTTAGATTTAAATTGCCTTTTTGCCCTCATTGGATCATACCCGAATTTCAAATTGTTCTGAATATAGTTCACAGGACATGCTGCAGTTGGCTTCACTTTAAAAGCATCGCTCTGTTTTTAAATTTATCTCTACTTCTTTGCCTACACTTTGTTTTTAAATTTATCTCTACTTCTTTGCCTAATGGTTTCTTATTTTTATTCCATGTCATAAAAGAGAGTCTCTGTTAGGAAAAGGATATGCCCCAGGACCACAAAACACCTTCACCTTTGACATAGGATCTGGAGAAAGAAGGTAAAGGAGAGGGAGATGAGCCTTGTATTCTGCAGAAAAGAATAATTAACCAAATATGAATCGCTGCATTTTTATATGTCACATATTTATATTTCATATTTATTTTCTAATAAGAATAAATATGAGAAAGGGGATCTCTTATAAAAGTCAAACAACCTTAGGCTGCATCACAATGAGTTTCAGAGAAAAACTAACATGGAGAGAGAGATGGAAAATCGAAACAAGCACACCAGGCAGCATCGTAAACAGCACCCTGAGTTCCCACGGTCTGCGATGAGTCACTTCACTTCTCCTTCTAACAAAGGAGAAGAGCATTTAGTACGAGACAACGTAAATCACTTGCAGCAGTTCCTGAAGGAACATGGTGGCCACTTCTGAATCTCTCCATCTTTCTCCTGAAAACTAAAGAGAACACCAAGAATGCCACCAGCACCATTAGATTCTTGGTGAAACTAAGAAACTAAGGGACAGAAAACCTACAAACTCCGAGTAACATTTGAAGGCTGCCTCCGGAGAGCTGGGCAGGGAGCCCATGTGGCGAGGTGTGAGCAGAAGAGAGGGGACCTCAGGAATCTCCAGCAAACATTCACACCCAAAGGGGGAGAGCTGACCCAGGGAAGGACGAGCTGTGAGCAGGGGCTCAGGAACAGGGAGAGGAAGAGCGAGGGGAAGTGCGAGGCGTGAGGAGGCCTGGCATGACTGCTCAAAGCAACACAACTTCTGAAAGTGGGCGCGTCGCCTTGGAAATCAAGGGCTGTGTCCTTTAAGGTCCACGGCATGTAGTAACCAGGGTTACTGGTAGAAACCTTCTGCTGGTTACGTACTGAATCAGGTGATCACACATCTCGATTGGCCCGCAGCAGACTTGATGAAATCTTGCTTATTAATAATGTCCCCTTTCAACTTTCAAGAGTTCCAGCTTAGGCAAATGATAAGGTCACCCTGGTCATGTTTAGGAGCTGTCACTTGCTGTGTAGGCTTGAACAAATCTTTAAACTTCTGTGATGCCTTATCTCATCTAACTGTTTTAAGGATTATTTTATACCTTAATCCTTAGGTATAGGTGGTTAGGATAGAGCCTGGCATTCAAGAAAGTGTACTACCACCATGAGAATGGCGTGGCTTTGTAGGATTCCCTGAGCAGAGGCTCTGGGAGGGGTGGGTTAAGTTGGTTCAGGAGGGGATGACTGGGTAGACCAGGATAAGTCTCAAATTAGAATTTATTTAGAGGCTAATAATATTCTAAGAGAACAAGAGGAAGGTACTCTGAAATGTCAGAGTAGCTTTGTATTTATTATGAGAAGAAAAAATAATTACCCATAAATGTGCTTTAAAATTCATATCGAAAGACTTCTCCATAAGCTCATCTGGGCAGTCGAGGAAGTTTTTGCCTGTTTCAATGCCGGCATTGTTGATTAGGATGGAAACGTCACCAACTTCTTTTTTAACCTGAATTGATTAAGAAGAGCAACGCTAACAATATAATTCTTTATATGATCTAGGTTTATCTCCCCCTCCCCCCGTTTTATACTCCTCTTATCCTTGTTGACTCAGATTGAGTTTATGCAGTCAAAACAAAATGTGATTTATTTCCCTTGCTGACTTTACAGTGTATCAGAGATCCAAATCTGATGCTTTTCTTCTCATTTCTTCCCCCTTCTTATGATGGTTCCAACAGCCAATGCTGCATTCCTTCTACAGTTAGAGCTATTCTTATATTCAGTGATTAGTAACTCTTTCCTATGCTATGTACAAGTAGCATATCATTTTAATCAGTGCAATGGGACATACCATTATAGCCATGTCACATAAATCAAGACCTAGCACACAGAGATGGGGTGGAGTAAGGAGTGAATGAAGAAAGTATAGTATTCATATCCATGCTTTAAACACAGCATAGCTCATAACCTGTGTTTCCTGTGTTCATCATCTAGCTGGTTTTCTCCTCCCACAAACTTTTAGGCAGGCAAAAAAATCTGTGACAGGAGGATCAGAGAAGGCCCTGTTTCCTGCTGTGACACTGACCAGAGTAGATACTCAGTAATTTTTATTTAAAAAATAAAAATTCTTGGTGTGACATTGGAGCCTTCCCCTTGTAGCAGATGTTACAGTGTTTAAAAATAAGGCAAGACCCTCGACCAGCAAAAAGATTATGATTTGCTTTACAGCCATACTCACTTTACTGTGGTGGTCTGGAACTAAACCTGAATATTTCTGAGTATGCCTGTAATAAAGTTTTTCTTTTTCTTTTTTTCTGTCATACCAATGTAATCAATTGAAGTATGCCATGCTAAATTGATTCTAATTTGGCTTGTCTAAGGGATCACAGACATTAAATACATAGTTAGGATACTTTGACATACCACATCAAAGATAAATGATAATTACATAGCTCCAGTCTGGTCTGTGTTTACGACCTCTCATCCAGGATGCCAGGTATCAAGGCTGGACTTTCAATGAGTGATAAGCTACGATCTAGGGACACAAGCTTTCAAGGTTATTGGGGTCTCACTGAAGATAAAACACAGTCATACCACTCTGACAATTTTTACCTTGATCATGAGATACTTTTTAAAAATTCTCTGAAAACTTCCCTTTATCTAGAATAAGAAGTGGAAATGTTTGGTTTGTAAGGGTAGGGAATAGTTTGCATCTTTTGAATTCAGAAGAACATATAATTAATTCTCTCCAAGACCCAGAAGTAAGAAAAGCTAAACTACAGGCACTAGTAATATGCCATGTTTACCATTTTTGAAGCTGAGCATCTTGGGTAGAACTAAATCATGTATATGGGGAAGAGGGAGGTAGTTATTTATGGAGCACCTCGTATTAGCTTGTTCAATATCTCAAGGTGTTAAGTGTTTGAATATGAGACAGTTATTGCTTAAGTGTGTCCAGAGAAGATGACTGTAGTCAGCTTAAGTCAACATGCCAGGTGGTGGGTGTTTCAAGTGCAAAGAGCTGAGTTTGTGAGGTCGGCTGCAGCAGAGACACATCTGCACTTTGCAGGGTGGTCCCAGCATGAGCCCACTGAGCCCATGCCAGCTCGTCAGGTTTGGATGGCCAGAATGTTCTGGGCAGCCTGTGATTGGAGATAGTAGAACCTCTGTGTAAAATGTAAAGACAAACTTAAACAAAAGTTACAAACTCACCAGCCAATGACCTGCCAATCTTTCTGCTAGAAGTGAGGAGGGAGGTAGCGGGGGGTTCAAGTAAGAGACCAGAGGCTGTGTAAGAACTTTCCAACGTGGTTTGGCTGCTTGTCACAGGTTGGTCTGGTTCCACCCTTTTCACTCAATGGGGAACTCTGGGAGCCACAAAAATATGTGGCCCAGGAGAATAATGTGTGGAATACTTGTGCCAATGTGAGGACAGAAATCCTCACGAAGAAAAGGAGGCAGCCATCAGACAAAGTACGTGCCTCTATGAACTAAGAAAACCCTTACCATTGGCTACTGAACTTTGGTTTCCTGAAAGAATTCTTTATATGTTCATCTCTATCATTGTGAAAGGAACGACTGAGGTTAGGAGTCTTAAGGATGAATAAAATATTCTGATTTTCTTATGACAACTTCAGAGAAGTATACACTCAAGTGAAAGGCATTGTTGTATGGTTGGGACTAACTAGATTTAAAATCAAACTTAATATAGGTTTAAATCCTGGCTTAGTCATACACTAGCTCTGGGACCCTGAGCAGGTTATGTAATATCTCTGTTTCAGTTTCTTTATCCTCACCTACCTCTTAAACTGTGACAGGGGCCAGCACAGTTAGTATTGCATGGTGGTTAGAGTCTACACTCCGGAGTCATCAGACTCAAGCCCCAGATGTAGCTTTGCTACTTGTTAGCTCTTTCTTAGATAAGCTACTTATGTGCCCTAAGTCTCAGTTTCCTTATTTGTAAAATAGAGATAATAATGGGCCTTCATTAATAGGATGACACAGTGTGTATAGGGTGATTAGCATGGTGTATTGCATACACTGAGAACTCAAAAATCCTAATTCCTGCTCCCCAATATTTTTTAAATTAAAGGGATGTTAGAGACAGTCAAATCAGCACTGAGAAAGGCAAACAGATAAGCTGTATGTATGTCTAAGTACTTACATAGAGTTCTAACTACCCACAGCAAATAGTAAGCACCCAAAATTTACCTGATCTGCCACTCTATATACTTCTTCCTTTCGACTGCAATCACAGGTATAGGCATAAGCCCTCATGGCTCCAGCGTCTAGAGCCATCTTGCACGTCTCCTCATTCCCCTCCTTGTTGACATCTCAGAGGACAGGCACAGCTCCAAGGTGGGCAAATTTGAGGGCCAAGAGCCTTCCAAGTCCACTTCTAGCACCCATTATGAGTATAATTCCACCAGCAACATTCTTCCGTGGCTTTGGGATTAAGGCAAAAAACAAAATCTCCAGAATGGCAAACACTGTTTTTCCTAAGAAAATGAATAATTCCTTGGCTGGGTTCAGGTTGGGAGCCATATTCTAGCTGACGCCTATAAAGAAAGACAGACTCATGTAAAGACAGGTGCCCATACCCTCTGAGTTTGCTTACTGCAAGGAGCTCATACTTCCTGAAATAGTGAAAGAAACTGAGAAACATGGTTTACATGCCTTTCCTGGTAGAAGACTCTGAACTTAGAATGGGCGGGGGTGTGGGGGTGCGGTTGGGGGTGGAGGTAGGGTACTGTATCTTGGCCAAATCTCATTCATAGCCCCACCCTCAAGTTCGGCACATATCTGCATGCCTGCTTTAGGTAACAGAAAGGTTCATTAACTGAAACTGTAACCACACCCAAATTCAACAAAAAGAAGTTCATTATTTCTCATAGTTCTTCCTAATAATTACTAGACCTGCTTGGCTGATTATTATGTTCAAAGTCTTGACAATATTGTAATGTTTGTGATGCAAAACTGCTACGTCTCTGGTTTTATTTCCGTCTCTTTTTAGGTTTTTTTCTCATCTGCACTGCTGTTCTTGAATTTTGCATCACTATTTAAAATCTGAGATTCAAGAGAAAAGTGTAAAATCCTATTTGCGTAATGTATTTGAAGAAGAGTCATTAGACTTTCTAAACCTTTTCTGATGGATTCACCAACAGCTCTGGATATCCCTTCCCCAGTTCTGGGGCCCTCCGTGCCATATCACTTACCACTTGGCCCTGTGACTACCTTGCCCTTGCCTAGCTGTGACAACTGGGGCAGGCTCTGTAGCCTTTCTGGACCTTGGTTTCCTCATCTGTACTGGTTCTGTGGCATAGGGAGGTTTTGCAGATGAAATAACACTGTATGTTATGTGCTTGACCACAATGCTGGCTCACAGGAAGTCCTTTATGAATGTTATCATGTTTCTCCAATTCACACTGCTGCTCACCAACAAGGCATCCAACAGGTTTGCTAAATGAATAACGGGCCTCCCATTGGCAAGCTCATACTTTAGTAGAATGAGTTTATAAGGTATTTCACTAACAACCATCTGAGAAAGAAGGGAAGGTCATATTTCCTCCAGGATGAGAAGACATGTCTAGCGGGGGGCACACTGTGCTTGGGGTGGGGAATTTTTCTGAATGAGTGTCCAATTGAGAGGCATAGAAGAGGGCAGGGGGTGTTCTCCATTAAAGAACAGCATGTCTTCACTTATCTTGAAGTTTGGCTGAGAATAGACTAGTTACTATTAATAACTACAGGTGGATTAAGTCACCTACAGGAAGGCTTGGAGCTTGGTCAGACCCTTAGGAAATTGTTATGACCTAAACTCTTGTTTCTTGGCTCATTCTGGAGATGAGGCTGAGGATCAGAAATATGTATGTGGTTTATCCAAGGTCCCTGTGCTAGTTAATGCAGGGCCAGGTGTTCATTTGTCATGGTTATTGAACACAGATGCTGTGCAGGTACATTCTCTGGTCCACTGAGCTAAGGGTCTATTTGAAGAGACAGACATTAAATGAATAAATACATCACTACAAGCCATAGTATTATAAAGAAAAATGCAGGGAGCTAGAGAGTAGACCAGAGATCTGATTTAGATTGGGGTCAAGGCAGAGAGCAACAGGACAGATTTGCCGGGAAGTGGCATTTGAGTGGATATCCAAATGGTGAATGGTGAGAAGGAGGGAAATATGGGAGTAGCCTTCCCAGTCGAGGGACAGAAGAGTTTGAGCTTTGAGGCAGGTGTGACTTACATGTCCGGGGCTGTCCAGGGAATAAGAATGCTGGCAGCAGGTGGCCTGGATGTTCTGGTAAAACAGAGTGTTTTCTGCTGAGAAGCACTGGGAGTCACCATGCTTTGGGTGAAATGGCCCTTAAACTCCCTGGCATCTCTGTTCAAATTTAATTTTACAGAGTAGCTTCTGGATGACTGGTCGGGCCTCCCAGGTTCTGCAGGACTTGGAAAGAAGGTGCCCTGCAGGGCGAACAGTGGTATTCAGACTCTCATTGTAAGCACAGGCAGGAGGTGTGTACCTGCAGACCTGCAAGGTTGAGGGTCATACTTCTCACAATAATGTGACACCCTCCCCAGGCAGCAGCCCGGTCACTGCCAACACTCCTTCCATGAGAAGCCCATGCCAGGCCATCCATGTCCATCTTCAGGCACACCACTATGTAAGTCCATGCCAGAAGGATAAAGGTTTACTCTCCTCACGATGCAGGTGGCTAGGAGTCTCACCTCCGACTTGGGTGACATCAAAGTTCTGAATGGCAGGGGTTCTAGGCTTTGGTACTTCACTGTCTCAATGCGGGCATGACGCAAGACCTGGAACAGGTCCATTGTTTATCCCTGTCCTGGCAGATGCTTCCTAGGTTCTTAAGATCATGGCATCCTGAGGTCTTCCTCTTTTGGGATTTAGGGTGTCTGCTGGAGACCTGCACACGTAGTGAGGTCTGGAGTTTAAGGTTTGGGTTGGAATTCTGGATCTGCCACTCACTTCTCTCAAACCTTGGAAAAATTATTTCATCTCTTGTGTCTCAGGGAGATGCTAGTGATATGTACCAATACCTATGAAATCGGGAGTTAAATGAGTTAATGCAGGTAAAGTATTAAGGAGTGTCATATGGTCACTACTACTCCATGTCAAACTTTTAAGCACATTGGATAAAAAAAGGTCCTCACTGCCAGGCTCCCCCAGCCCTCTCCAGGATAGGTAGGGGCAAGAGCAGTTGGGCTGTATTTCAAGGCCTGCCAGGTTACATGCCTTGCTAGAACAGTGCCAGGGACACACGACAGCAAAATAAATATCAGGTAGAGCTGACTGGTGTTTCTGCTAGCATGAATTAATGATTCCTGTTTATAGCAATGGAAGATGGTTATAGTAAGTAAACTTACATACAAAAATGTAAGGTTCCATTTTAGTGTAAAGACTCTTCCTTAGGAAGTGACAAAGCACGTTAAATTTAATAAGGCTGAAGACTTCTTTGGTGTCTCCATCCCATGGCCTAGTCTCAGTTCAAAAGCTTAACTAATTTAGTGCACTGTAAACAGGTGACATCTCCTTTCCAAGCCAGGGGGCAGCAGCAAGTTGGCCCTGGTAAGGGGAACAGCAGGTAAGGAGCATGGGGGGTATTGGGGGCAATTGGGGTGGTGGGAAGGAAAAGGTAGATGCATTCAGCAGCAGAGCACCTGGCGGAATGGACCGAGGAGGGAGAGAGGACCAGGTAGGCATCTCACTCTTTGCTCCTGGATGGGGAAGGAGTCTAGCCGCTCACTCCCGCGGGGTTCAGGACTTAGTGGCCGCCTGGGCAGTCTGCGGCTCCGGGACGCTGGCTCCTGGAGCTGCCGCTGGGGCTTGCCCCCCAACTCAGCCCTCCGCTCCCGCGTCTCCCACCCCGACTCCCGCGCCCCCTCTGCGCCCGGCCACGCGCTAACGCCCGCGGGCGCGCGGTCCTCGCAAGAGCCGGGTCGCTGTCCGGCCACGGGGCCGCGGGCGCCACTCCTCTTGGAGGTCAGGCCCAGCCCCCGGGCCCGGACCTTGGCAACTCACCCCGGGCACGCTGCGCTCACAGTCCGCAGAGAAGCCGACCTCGTCCGCCACGGGCACCGCGTCACTGGCTCGCAGCTGGACGAGCATCAGTTCTCCCCGGCGCCCGCACGAGACCAAATCCAGACGCGGGCCGACCGCACCCACGCAAGGGAGGGGGCCGCCGCAGCCCGGGCGCGCCCTGCGGGCTGCACCTCTTTGTTTTTTTCCCGGGCAGCCAGATTTAGAAGCTGGAAATTAGGTCGCGAAGATCCTATGCGCACGCCAAGAGTTTGAACATAAGTACCCCAGGGCGAATAAAAATTCCGATAGCCAGGCTGCTTCCTGATTTCTTAAATCAGAATTTCTGATTTGGAAGGGCGCGGGGGGGCAGGTAACAGCGCTTAAAAAGTTCCCCAGGTGTTTCCAAGCACAGCCCCGGGGCTAGGAACCCTCGTGGAGAGAACAAAGAGGAAGCAGGTGCCGGAGGCTATGCGAGAAGCGAGCCAGGTCCTGTCTCTGCAGCCCGCAGTGCCGCGCACAGAAGCGGAGTTCTCCAGCAGCATCTGAGTCTTCCACTTGGGATCAAGGTCAACAGCTTCCTTGGCCCGGTGGTGGTAAGTAGCGTGGGTGGGAGAATGGCGGGGCGGCGGGCGTGGTGCCGGCGGGAGTGCGTGAGGCGCTAGCCAGAGGATCGCGATAAGACTGGTAGGGAGGTTTGTTCTAACGAGCTGAGGGTGAGAAAAAAGAAAACGTCCGCAGAGCACTTCGATCTCACCAGTGTATATTGGACATCTCTGTGCACAGTGATCCAGAAAATAGAGAAGTGCCACATCTGTCAAAAAGATAAAAATCACCTAACATTCGCTAATCATCTAATATAAGCATGTCACCACTGAATGCTGGCAATAGAGGGTGGAGTTTGAGAGATGACATAAGGAGCTAAATTATGGGGTGTTGAAGGAAAAATAGGGAGTCAGGACAAGATTGCATTTTGAATTCATCCAGGATTAGGTAGGATGTGCCAATCCTGGGACAGACTTTGGTGTGTGAGGACCGCACACTTGTTCTTCATTTGGCTGTGAGAAGAAACAGGTTGTATAAGCCTGGAAAAGTACGTGCAGGCGAGAGCCTTGAATGCCATTTCAATGTTTAAGAGGTTACTTGTATTCTGTAGGCAGTGGCGAGCTGTGGTGAGTTGTGGAAAGTGTTTGAGTGGCTGTGCTGTTGCAAGGTGGATGGGGCAGGTGTGTGTACACTGGTTTCAGGTCGGCTCTCATTACCCAGGGACATGTGTTGTGCAGGACTCTGTGCATGGCTCTGGGGGACTGCAGAACTTTTTGCAGGCAGGGGAAGACACATTTTGAACTGCACATGTGCGGATGATACACATGCACCCCAGGTGCCCATGGGCATATGAGGGGCACCTAGCCCACTGGATGAGAAGAGGTAGCTGGGCTAAAAGAGCCTTCCAGATTTTGGAGTCAGAATGGGCCAAGGTGTAGAGGTGAGCAACACCTGGGCATG